GGTACAGAAAAAAGCATTAGCCTCATAGATCTTTCCAACATTCAGATCAAGCATTCAAATTGATTATAAAAGCAAATGTGTCTAGATATAGAATGATTATGATCACATTATTGTATTACAAAAATAAAACTTTAATCTTATATATTACAGTACCCTGTAATGTTACTAAGATTCCAAAAGCAAAGCAAAAACAAAACAAAACCAACTCACTCACTCTCAAGTAGCACTCTCCAACTTATACATATACCACAAGTATATCTATAGGAAAAGGAAACAAAGCTCATGTTCCATGAAAGCCCTTATATATTCATCATAACACTCTTATATATTTCGTACAGCAAGCAGCACCACTGATCCTCTATGCAACTCCCAGGAGTTCCTTTATATCATTCTGCAAAGGAAAACAAACATACACAAAGTTACCGAATAAGTAAGAACTAACCAAAGATAAAATCGATCATAAACTGGAAATGTGGTGGTGACTGCCGAAGTGGGTGTTACCTCAAAGCTAGAAGGGTTAGTAGTTGGGTCATAATGATTAACAACATTCCCATCTTTGTCAACCAAGAACTTTGAAAAATTCCATTTGATATTGTCTTCACCTTTGCTCGACTTCAGGAACTTGTATATAGGAGCAGCACTCTCACCATTCACATCCACCTGTGTATCAAAATAGACAAAGCTCAAACTAGTTAGGAAAAACTACCATGGAGTCATAGTACACTTTTGACTACCTCGGGGCTGAAAGATGAAACACGTGAATTTTCATCTATAATTTTGTTAAATTACTGAACAAGTACCTTGTCAAATATGGGATACTCAGCCTTAAAGCGAGTGCAAGCAAATTCCACGATCTCTTCATTGCTTCCGGGTTCCTGAGCTCCAAACTGGTTACAGGGAAATGCAAGAATTTCCAGGCCTGCACAAAGACAGTGATAAGGGAAAAACTGAAGAGAAGGATTGAATTATTAAAGCAAAGTGACCTAGTTATTTATTGAAGTATTTTCCCCCTGCACTTTGCAGAGGAAAGTATGGAAATGTCTGAGATATGCAAGTTTTATTCATGTGATCTTGTCTATAACCTTCAAGATACCATAAAGTTAGAAAGGGTACAAAAGCACACCTTGATCTTTGTATTTCTGATACAACTGACTCAGCTCAGTATAGTTGGAATTGGTCAAGCCACTGCATTAAAAAGTTGAAGTTATAAATTTAACATACAAGGAAAAGGCATGTTGAAAGGGAATGCACTAAAAGCATTTAGACATTAACTCCAAATAATGCTTTTCAGTAGCATTTTTGATATATAAAACAACCAAATATTCATAAAATTGAGAGTGAGACATTATAAGTTTGATGTAAATTCAATGTAAACAGGAGTTAAAAGCATACCACTGTGATGCAACATTGACAATCAAGAGGACCTTTCCTTTATAAATGCTAAGATCAACAACATTTCCCCTTGCATCCTGCAAAAATATAAAACAACAGAATTTATTATGAATTTCGCTACCAAATAAGAAAATAATCTTACTTGCAGAACTATCATTATCTAACATAGCTTATGCTAGGATCATCAACTATTATATCTCTCAATGGACTCAGCCCACCAGAAATAACGGCGAACCTCATTATAAAAAGTACTGCACTATATAAGCTTCATTTGAGGCCTTAAGTATGCCAATTATTTTCCAGGGATTTACTAGTGAAACAAAGAAACTTCTCGGAGTTGGTTAAAGGACAATCCCATTCCCATATATTTTGGATTTAGTTTGCTTGTAAAACTATGGAATTAAACAGTTAGTAATCTATCATTTATTTGTTCCAAGAAGAAGAAAAAGAAAACGAAAAAGACCAACAAACTGACCTTAACAGTGAAGTCATGAACTGATTTCTTGGATTCGCTGGCCATTCTATGATTAGATTTCAAAGTGTTGATGGAGAAATCAAAAGGGTTTTCTTAGAATTTGAAGAGAAATAGTTTGTTAAAAGAAGAGAAGTAGATACAGTTGCTGCGTTAAGATTTCTTTCCAGGAGAATGCGAGTTGAAGAAGAGAGCAATGAGGATTTTATAGCTTTCATCGTGTATGAAATTTTGAGTGTTGGCTAGTGTGGACATAAATTCTGACGATTGGTCTTGCAGGTTGTTGGTTGGCATGGCTACACATGGATGATATTTGGATCAGAGATTACGTCATGGTCTTTCAAACAGTTAAAAATTCTGGAAGTCTTGTGTAGTGAAGGCGACAGTAAAGATTTTGAGGATTTTAGGCTCCAACTAGACGGCCGGCCTTTTATTTGATATCTAGAACAGTTGAGTTCACATTTGTGTTTACATTCGGCATTCAGTCAAAGTTTTGAGGCTTCTTTCCTTACCTTTTGTCAGTGCTCAGCAGTTTTATTAGTTTCTAGAAAATTCTAGTTCACGATGTATCTGTCTTTGCTGTTCAGTTTAATCCTAATATTCGATGTCTCAAATTTTTATAAAAGCTTGCATGGAGTTTCAAAAGACAAAAGTTGATTTCTCCTCTAATAATAATAATTAGTGTCATTTTTGGATACATAATAGTTGTTATATCACTTGGTATTCAATAGGATTTAAATATAAAATAATGTTATAGACACCAATAATTTATATCGAATTTTTATACCAATATATATGGCATCCAGTTAGACGCGATCACATCAGAGATAATATACGTTTTTCGTGAATGAACAGCTGTCCAACAATTATAGATGCTCGTCCATATTTGATTAACGCCCATCCACATAATATAGACGTGACCACGTCAGTGACAATACACGTCTTCTGTGAATGAACGACCGTCCACTTCGAATAGACACCTATCCATAAATTTTTAAAAGTATAATAATGGATGTCTGTCCATATGATATGGATAAACGTCTATTTAAAATGGACGATCGTTAGTAAATAAAAATTTTTATTTGCCTCGTACAGATACCAAGGTGCGTCCATTTTCAATAATAATAATAATAATAATAATAATAATAATAATTGGTTTATCAAATACACTTTATATTTTTGTAGCTAGAAGTAGCATTTATAGTTGTTGCTTATGGATGTAGGTGGAATTAATATTTAAACACTTTAACTAATTAATAATTATGGTCAAAGATAGTGATAAATATGGGTTGTGATGTGAACATATAGCGAAGTCTTCTTTTAATCACGAATAAATAGTCCAGTTTTAAACTTAGGTTAGGAATAATTAATTAAGTTGGAAGTTGAAGAAATCAACAATTATAGTTCAGTTCTAATACGGAGGACAGTCGTCCATTAAAAAAGGACATTCGTCTATATAATATGGATAAACGTCCATTCTTGCATTTTTATAATTTTATAATTTAAATTATGGATGGACGTCCATTCTAGGTGGACGCCCATCCATAGAAAATTGACTCTCATCCATATCTATTGTTATTTTAGTATGACAATTCGTCCAGATTCGTAGACAGTCGTCAATTTGTAATGAATTATCGTCCATCATATAAGTTGATGAGTGTCCATTGTTTTGTTTTTAAATTTTCTGGACGGGCATCCATATAAGATAGACATTCATCCATATTATACAGATGGGTGTCCATTTACTATGGATAGGAATCCGTTGATATTTTTGTGGACGTTTGTCTATTCGTGATGAACGATCGTCAATCAAATATGGACAGGCGTCCATAATTGTTGGACGGTCATTCATTCACGAAGACGTGTTTTGTCTCTAACGTGGCCTTGTCTCTAACGTGGCCACGTCTCACTGGATGTCATGTCCTTTAGTACAAAAATTCGATGTTCGTAGCATTATTCTTTAAACATAAAACAAGAATTTTTTTTTTTTAACCGGGGTTTTCAAGTCCACTTACGGACAACTTAATTAATTCCTAGAGTCCAAATGTGATAAGTGGTCAGATTTAGTTGAAAATATTTTATACAAACTCAATGAGTCATATAAGTTACAAATATAATAGATGACTACTTTCATGAAACTCGAATACAAGACATTTGAGTGACCCTACCCAGATTTCTAAAGTCTTGCTAACCGGGCTTTGATAACAAGGTTACTTAGTACAAACATTTTTTGGTGAAAATGAGGTAGAACACTTTTCAAGATAATTTTTTGTCTCAATAATTAAACATTAATTTAAAATCATCAAACATAAAAAAAAATAAAAAATAAAAAACTTCGGATCAGATATTAAATATATGAAAATACAATTCAAATTTTTGAATTATATATTAATTTTAACAATTATTTTCCTATCACAAAATACATATGAATCTTGTGCCGTTACATGTGTTGATAATTCTAGATGTCAATTTTAGTACTGATAGCTCTAAATTAGCAATCCTGAGGCAGTGCCATCATGGGAAGATGAAGATGGCTTCTGTTTTCTATATAAAATCTATAACAACGAACTAGCTGTATCAATATGATCTCGAACAACCGATTACCTTAACGTAAAGCAGTTGTATATCTATACGTATTCTGGCGAGTATCAGACCTGAATAATTTAGCCCCAAGATATCTGAGTCTCTAAATTATACTCGAAGAAGTCATAAGATACAGGAGTTTGTATAGATGATCGTTGTAAAAGTATGCTCTTCCATTTAATAATGCTGTAAATCTTTTGTACATCTCAAAACTCGTATATATTCCAACATGGATACCGTTTGAACCTAAAGGTATAGTTTCTCTCTTTGTAGTTCGTAATTATCTGATCTTTATAAAATTAACAACTGTTCTGAACCACCAGGTTTTCTTGGAATACTGCTTTGGGGACTGTATTAAAATAGACTTCTGGGACCATTTGGGACCTTTTTGTGCTTTAAGTACTCAAGTACTGGATTAAAAAAGATAACATATGAGCTTTAGTGCGAAAATTTATATCAATGCCCGATGGATCTGAAAGAGAAATAGCATTGCCATTGGCCTCGTTGGTCATTCAAAGTTCAAACATTCAGATCAAGCATCTCGCATTTCAAATTAGTAAAACTATAGGACTTCATTAAAACAAACGTATTTATGATTACATTATTACTTGATCAAACTTTAATACATCATAGATGTCCATAGAAAAAAGAAAACAAAGTTCATGAATACATTTCCATGAAAGTGCTTATTCATCATATCCTACTCATTTATTCGCAGTAAGTTGATACACTTTGAAGCAGCACCTTATGCAACTGCCAGCAGCTTCTTTACATCCTTCTGCAAAGAGTAACAAGAATTATGTGGGTTAATAAGATCTAACCGAGGCTAGAGTTCATCATTAAATTTGAAAATATGGCAGCGACGGCAAAAGCAGGTATACCTCAATGCTGAGAGGGGAAGTAGTCGGGGCATAACGTTCAACAACTTTCCCTTCTTTATCAACCAAGAACTTGGAGAAGTTCCACTTAATACTGTCTCCAAAGAGTCCACCTTTGCTCGATTTCAGGAACTTGTAGATAGGTGCAGCATTGTCACCATTCACATCAACCTGTTTCATAAGAGAGAAACGAATTCTATAAACGTAAGTCTCTACTTCTGATCCAAAAAAACAAAAAACATTAAAATGTCCCTTTCTTTTCCTCTGGTAACCAGCCTAAATTATACAATCTGGGAGGCAAAAGATTTGAATTCTAGATTCATCTCATCTTCTCACCCTCTTTCTGAAGCAAACCATACAAGCAAATAATGGTTTAATTTATCAGGGAATGATCAAAATGATTTTGCAACTAATTCAAAAATGAAGGTACTTGAATTTTTATCAATTGTGGAAGACCTAGAGACAGCATAAACAATTCTGAAACGGAAAGAAAGAGAGTAAGTCCAACAATTATCTCCATTAGAGCTGCATGATTCATCCACTATAAAATCAGATGTTGTTTTAAACCTCAAACTAGCCACCTAAAGCTATGGAGCCATGTAGTATACCTTGACAACCTAAGAGCTAGAAAATAAAAAATAAAAGAGCATTTTCAACTATAATTTTCTTAGATTACAGAACAAGTACCTTATCAAATATGGGATACTCAGCCTTAAAGCGAGTGCAAGCAAATTCTAAGATCTGTTCATTGTTCCCTGGCTCCTGCGCTCCAAACTGATTACAGGGAAATGCTAGAATCTCCAAGCCTGCAAGAAGATAGAATATTCAAGTCTAAACAAACTGACACCTCTTGGCTATATTAGAGTATAATCATTGACTTTACCCAAAAAAAAAAAAAAAAAAAATTTCAAGAAATTTAAGGCATACAATTCCTATTCATGTCTATAAGCGTCAACATATCATGAAGTCAGAAAAAGGAAGGAAAGCACACCTTGATCTTTGTATTTCTGATACAACTGGCTCAGTTCTGTGTAGTTGGAATTGGTCAAGCCACTGCATACAAAATCGAATCAATAAATTACATATTTTTGAAAGAGGCATGGAAAGGAGCCACCATTGAGCTTCAAAAGTAAATAGTCAGGTTGAAGTTCTGCTTCAAATTACAAATATTTGATGCAAAATGAAAATCAATAAAGATGTTCTCATACCATTGGGATGCAACATTGACAATCAAGAGGACCTTTCCCTTGTAAGTGCTAAGATCCACATCATTTCCCCTAGCATCCTGCAAGAAAATATAAAATCACAAAATATATATCAAACACCCAATTAAACCGGAAAAGAAATTAAAAAAGAAATCTCCCTATCAGCAAAACATCCTTAATTTCGCATTGACGAGGCTCAGATTATTATCTTAATGTAAAGCATTGATAGAAAGGTAATAACAGACCTCATTATAAATACTGTACCAAGCTTTGGGTTGAGGCACTTGCTGGTCAATTAATTTTCAAGTGCTTTGCCAGTTAAACAAGAGAACAGAAGTCTCTCTTATTACTGGGCCCTTCTATATATATATATATTTTATGTTTAATTAAAAATGTCAAGAATCTAACACTGATTCATTCAATCATTGACATGAAAATAAAAAAATTTAATTTCAGGATTTGGTCAAAAGCAAATCCCCCAAATCTCCGAGTATCGTCTGACTATAGCACCATTTATTTAAGGATTATGGTTTTAATTACGTCAAAAGCAAAACAATCACCATACGAAAATTCAGAAACCCATAAACAAAAAACATAAATGAATAGCAATACCAAGAAAGAGTCTTTTATGGTAACCAAACCCATAAAAATTAACGAAAAGACACCCGAGAAACTGACCTTGACAGTGAAGTCATGAACTGATGTTTTGGATTGGCTTGCCATTGTATGATCCGATCTCAAAGTGAACAACACAGGTTTAGAAACCGCTCTTTGGTTCGACGGAAAAACGAAAGAAAGAGGCTTACTTTGCCGACAAATCAAAAGGGCTTTCTCAGAAACTGAAGTTAAATGTTTTGCTAAAAGAAGAGAAGTAGATATCGATTGGATGTTAAGATTTCGTTTGACGAGA